AGTATCCGTTCTGTTTTAATAAAGTTAGCAGAGCGTTCCAATTCGTGTAATCTTTCTCCCTAAATTTTGGTCATAAGCGACATCTAGATCTGTTTCGTTAACTAGAGCAAATATTATGCCTCCGAAGAAAACTGCAGCAAAGAAAAGCGGGGACAAGGAGGAGGCTCCTAAAAAGGAGGCCAAAGGTGGCACGGCTGTGAAAGTTCGTCATATTTTATGTGAGAAGCAGGTAAGCCTTCCTCTGACTTAACCTATCGCTTTTTTAACTATGTCTAATTGTAAGTTTTCATTTGAATTTTATATGATTTAGAGCAAAGCTCTGGAAGCTATAGAGAAGCTAAAGTCTGGTATGAAGTTCCATGAAGTTGCTGCTCAGTACAGTGAAGATAAGGCACGGTCTGGGGTACGTTACATTGTTGATTATTCATCATGAATACCAAATGATTCCTATGTCAGCATAAGAATTTCTTATTTATTGGTGTATTTTCATAATCTCTAACAGATTCACTCTTTTTTGATCATTATATTCTTCAGGGCGATCTTGGTTGGATGACTCGCGGTTCAATGGTCGGTCCATTTCAAGATGCTGCTTTCGAGTTACCTAAGAGTACCTGTGACAAGCCCATCTATACAGATCCACCTATAAAAACTAAATTTGGCTATCATATCATAATGGTTGAGGGCAAGAAATGATTGTTATCTTCCTTGATGTTTTTCTGACATTTTGTTTACATGGTTATTTATTACGGTTTGTAAATAAAATACCTAAATTTCGTGTGTGTATATACTCCCAGAAAAATGAAGCATGAAACAGCTTCCTTCAAGTCTTCAGCATTTTCTGTCGCAATTTACTAGAACGAAGCAACATTTGTCGCAGCGCTCGCAGTTTAGCGCTTGACAATTTGCCAATTTCAAATCTAACCATTTTCGAATGGGTTTGTCATACTGGAAAGTTTTATCTCAAGAGTCCTTTGTTCCTTACTTCAAGTTGTCTCGCTTAACATGTGAAAAA